AAGCTCACAAAATCAAATTCTAACTATTTAAGCAATTTCCCAACCATTTACACAAGTTTCCTAAAATCCGACCCCGGGCCCACGTGCCCGGATTCCGAAAATTTTTCGAAGGAAGTTGTTCTGTATAACCTAAGGATCATTAATATACAATTTCTAATCCGTTTCATAACAAATTTCGTAGTTAAATCTAATTTTTTTGTTAAAACCCTAGATTTTGCTCTAACCTCTTGATTTACCTAAATTCTAGTGTTTAATCTACCTAAGATACAAGTATTAAACTAAGGATAGATGGGATAAACTTACCTCAAGATGCTAGGTGGAAATCTTCTCTCAAAAGCTCCCAAAATCGCCAATGGAAGAGTGAAAAGTGTCAAAAATTAGTTTGGAAACCGTATTAAATGAAGCTCACTACTTCAGCGATTTCCGCATCTGCGGTCTCGCTTCTGCGAGAAAACGTCCGCACCTGCAGAACAGGCCAAGAGGAGCTGAGACTGCTTCTGCGGTCTTTTGGCCGCTTCTGCGGTTTTGCCTGGTCTTCACCTGGGCCGCATCTGCGACAGATGGACCGCACTTGCGGTCCACCAACCGCAGGTGCGGTTATGACAGAAGCAGCAGCTTCAGCACTTCTAAAAATTTTCTACTTCACTCGAACCTCGTCCGATTGACGCTCGGGGCTCCCGGGCCCCGCCCGAACATACCGACAAGTCTGAAATCACGAAACGGACCTACTCGAACTTTCGGAACGCCCGAAACAATTCTAAATCTAAGAATCATCCCCTAAAACCAATTGAATCAAACTTATGAACTTCAAGTTCTTAATTTTTCCTCTAACGGTCCAAAACGCCCTTAGACTACTCGGATTGACACCAAATTTTGCGGGCAAGTCTTAAATGTTATATTGGACCTGTACTGGGCTTCGGAACCAACATACGAGCCCAATACCAACGTGATCAATCATTAGTTAGTTTCTTTAAATCCATAGAATTTCAGTTTAACAATTTCAAATAAAAAATTCATTTCTCGGGCTAGGGACCTCGGAATTCGATTCCATACATACGCCCAGGTCCCATATTTTTCTGCAGATCCTCCGAAACCGTCAAAACACAAATCCGGGCCCGTTTGCTCAAAATGTTGACCAAAGTCAAACTTAGCCTTTTAAGAAAATCCTAAAGAGTCAATTGAGCATATTTCAATCCAAACTCTTTCAAATTCCGAACCAACCATCCCCGCGGGTCGTAATTTAGCTAAAGCAAGCACAGAGAGTGTTATTTGGGGGAATGGGGTTCTAAAAAGGCAAACGACCGGTCGGGTCGTTACACAATCCAAACAACTAACAAATTCAAAAAAATTCATTTTCGAAAGCAAAGCTTTGAATGGTCTTCAATGGTGGACTTCTACTCTTCAGTTTTCTTACATTGCAAGCAGGTGACACAAGAGGAGAAGCAAAAAATACACGGCCCCTTGAAGCATATGTAGAAGATGTGAGAAGAAGAGAGACTGAAAGTAATGGTTGTGAGAACATATTTAACTCCATAGCTTTTAGATACAATGGTTGTAAGAAGATAGATTTTGAATTTGCTAGTGCTTTAAAAATATGTACAATGTGGGCTAGGTCGGGTAAAACTTAAAAACATGAGCCATTTTTTTGTTATGGTGTGAAGTCATGTGTATTTTCTTGTAATTCTTTCTTTTTTGTTTGGCAAGTCAAGGTCTTCCGAGACGAAAGAGAAGTCATAATTCAACATGTTTAAAATCGAGATTATCATCAATCAAAATAATTTTTAACCTAATCTTAAAAACTGAAACATAAAGTTTTTACTAGGGGTGGGCATCGGTCGGTTCGGTTCGGTTATGAATATTATCGGTTTAGCATATCGGTTATCGATTTGCAAATATGATAAACCGATAACCAAACCGATAAGATATTAGTTATCGGTTATAGGTTAATCGGTTACCGATCATTATCGGTTCGGTTATCGGTTTACCCGATAAGATAACTCAATCTAGAGTTAAGCAAAAAAGAGAAGAGTAAAACAGCTTTAAAATTCATTTCTGGCCACAACTAAAACAGTTTTATAAAACAACTTTATATCGGTTCTAGACAGTGGACACAACTAATTGTGCTAATCTTCCTGCTAGCTTTGACTTAATCTGACCCCTGCAATACAGTTGTTGTATCACATGTCTTACTAATTGTGCTAAAACAGTTTTATAGCGGCAACTAATATTCAACTAACAACAATACATTGAACAAAGAATCTGCAACAAACATAATCAAGCACTACATTGAACAAAGAATCTGCAACTAATATTCAACATAATGTTGCTGCTACAACTTTCCAGTTTCCAACACTACAAACATCAACATAATGTTGCTGCTAAGCCATAAAATCTGCAACTAATAATTCAACACTACAAACAGTTGTCCAATTGAAGAGTGAAGAGTCTGATCTCTGAAGAATGCGGCTGAGGCTAAGAAAGAATAGGAAAGAATGAAGCCCTAGCATATCTGCATATGTATATACTAAAGGGTAAAGTAGTAATTTCATTAATCCTTATTGGGTTATCGGTTAACCCAATAACAGAATTGCCAAACCGAGGCCCGAACCGATAACCAATAGTGAAGAAATTCTAAACCGTTACCGAATCGTTAACCCAATAACCCAATACCGATAACCCAATAAATAATTTACAGTCGGGTTATTGGTTTTACTCGATATATGCCCAGCCCTAGTTTTTACTTTTATTTAATTATTTATTTTTTGGGACAGGAGAGGGAAGGGAGTGATGAAGCATTATTTCACATGTTTCGGCAATTAGTTGGAGCAAGAAACATCAAGATAAGATCAAACGTGACGCAGGGATCTAATACAAAAATAACTTAGTAAGTATAGTATTTAATACTTGACAGCATCTGACATTATCTAATGAGTAGTCTAATATAATCGATCAAGCATTTTATTACAAAACTTAGCGTAAAACAAAAGCAAGCAATTGCTATAATTGGATATTAAAGTGGAACTCGTGGTCAGTGGCGAAGTTAAGAATTTTTTTAAGGGGGTTCAAATTTGAACGAAATAAAACAAAAATTTCCGACAAAGGGTGTTCAATATATATTATATACCTTTAAAATTTAATATTTTTCTCGTATATACAGTGTAAATTTTCGATGAAGGATGATCAATTGACCCACCCTTAAGTAAATGTAGCTTCGCCCGTGCCCGTGGCTAAGCAACTTTCTGAATTTCACTAAACATAGTGTCATTACATAGCATAAGACTGTAGAGTTTATTTATTATATTTATTATTTATACCTTGTGTGGCTGAGAAACAAGCAGTATTATTTAACAAAACATTTCCATTATTTCTTGTACATTAGCAAACTTGTCTTACTGGATTCTGAGTAATTGACTACTATTTCTATCTCAATTAAAAATATATCTTAGATTAACGTCCCAAAGTTTTTGACATCATAATACTAATAACATTATTTTATAATTTATTTATTACACTGAGAAACATGAGAAGGATAGAAAGGAAAAGAACAAGGATGGTAATAATTAAAAAAATTTAAACTTATAATGTAGGGAAAAGCTCAGATACATTAATACCTCTAGAGCTTAAACTTCTGTAGTTTCATATTTATTGTCTGCATTTACACTCAATTGATTTTAAATAACCTAATGTGTAAAGAATTTTCACACAATTAATAAATAAAAATAACCTGTTGAGTAGATTATGAGTGCAAATTTCGTATTTTGAACGGGGTTTTATTGTATGCTTCAACATTTTGAAACTTGAAAGGAGGAAAGTGTTACAGCTTGTTTGGATGGTTGTTACCTATTGTATTGTATCGTATTGTCACTTTACATACGATGTTTGTTTTGATTGTTACTTAAATTTATTGTATCGTATCGTTAAATCCGTCGTTACGTAACAACAAAATGTACAACTTTATGTAATGACCGATTTGGTGTGGTCGTGTCGTTACCTTGTCTTTTTATCTCAATCTCACCCTTCATTATTATTAAATAATTTTATTTCATCATTTACCCTAACTTTTTATATAGTAATTTTAACCTGTATCATAATTTTACTTTATAATATTACAAATTTATTCTTCATATTGCAGGTGCATGATATTATGAAATGATGGCAAACGACACAATCTATCCAACTATTGTATTCATCAAACGATACAGTACAATACGATACGATACAATACGATACATTATGCAACAATACATAACAACCATCCAAACAAGCCGTTAGTCTATATAATAACTTAAGAAGCCGTGTATATATTTCTCTCTTAAATTAATCAAGAATTTAGTTATTAGAGTCACTACAACATTATGCATATACAGCTACGAAGTACGTTGTAGCTAAACATGAAAATTTTCATGGCTAAACACTTTAGCTACAATAATTTTTTTCGTAGCATCCGTAGCTAGATGTAGCGTAACTAAAAGTTAGCTACAAACTTTAACATTTCATGGCTAAGGATTAATACTTATTGCTACAAGAATTTTTGTGATGTGGCTATATTAATAAAACTTTTTGCCACAAAGAATATATATTTATAGCTAATGATTTTATCTTTTGCCACGATAAATTAACTTTGTAGCTATCTTCCATACTTTAGATACAAAGGGATATACTATGGCAAAAGGTGTTATTTATTTAGCTACAAAATGGCAAAAGGTGTTATTTATTTAGCTACAAAATTCAAACACGTAGCTATGCTCTCATATTAGATTTATATTATAGCATTTATATTTAGCTACCAACACATAATTTTATGGCTATAAATCGTCAAATATCCACGATTAAATATTTTATTATATTTTGTTTGGTGAATAGATTTTTATACATTTTATTTTTATTGATCAAAAATTAATTTATTAAAATTTTCAAATATTCAATATCCATACTTTTTTATTTATCAAACCATAGAAAATACACAGTAATAAACTTTAAATATCACTTATTTATACAAATTGAAATCTAAATAGTTTAATAAATTAATTCTAAAATATACAATTGTCTATATACAGTACATAGTATCCATACTTCCACAAGTATGTAACTCTTGTACAAGAGACATAACAACTAGTTAATATGCAGCTAGATAATAGAAAAAACTTAAACTTACATTCTTGTCAAACTAATAGGAGTATAATACAAATTATGCACCATTATCTATAATCTATAAAATTCTGAAGGGTTCCACATCAAAAGAAAACTAAGTTCCAAGTATTTGATCCGGAAATTTCAGATGTCGCCACCAGATGATCTTCTGCAATCAAGGATGAAGTACTTTCACTCTTTGCATCAAGGTTGAATCCTTAATCTTCTTGCATTGAATAGATTGAAATGCACCCTATAAATTTAAAAGAAATAATAATTAACACAAAAGAATGAGTGAACCAAAAAGCGCATTAATACAAGAATTTTTAGTATACAATAAGAGTGGAAAACTCAAAGCAACAAGATAAGAAAATAAACCTGTATGCTTTTTTAAAAACTTTTGAAAGAATTCTCACCTCATTTTTGTAATGTCTTTTCGACGAACTGTGGCTCCTCCCAATATTGCATTTTAATCTTCAAAGTCCCACTCAATACCTATCACAATACGGCAAAATATCTATCAAATTGTTAGAATATAAATCCCAAATTTTAAATCAAATAGGTGTATTGGGATCTAAAAATCCTAAGATATATATACATAAATATACCTGAAAAAAAAAAGAAGCCATCGGGCTATCTAGCCAGTGATTCCGCTGATTTGCTCTCTTCATGTGAAGAGAGGCATTGTTGAAGAAGGAAATGGAAAAGGAGGGATGGGGTTGGCGGCAGGGTAGGGAACCATATAAAGTGAGAATGTTATTAGGTTTGTGAATTTTGGTTTGGGCCAATTGGCCTTTATGCTTCCTTTTATTTCTTAGTTAATGTATTACAAATGCCATAAATACTAGAAACGTAAGTACTACTCCTAACATATGCAAGTAAGTAAGAAATTTGTCTATGTAAAATACAAAAGATCAAATACATAATTTATACTAAATAAAATAAAAATATTAACTTGCATGAAATAAAGATATTCTATAATATATTATATTCTTTATAACTTTTTTTTTTGTCCTATACGATATTATTAGTTTTCTTATGTATTCCTATTTCAATTATATTAACTTCTTAATTTTAGCGTTTAAGTAGATTACGTAGTTATTAAGTTATTAAAATAGTATTAAAATAAATTATTAAATAAATAACTTTTCTATTTGTCTAAATTGAGTGTAATTACCGATCAATGTACATAGATACAAACATCTTGTCTAAATTTGATATTGTTTATTCAAATCTAATGAAAAATAATTACATACTTAATTAAAATGTATTGAAAATTACAAGTATAATTTTTTAATATGAATTATGATATACTAGTTGTTAGTTTTGTTATACACTGCTATATAACCCATATTAAAATCTTAAATTTTTTTGAAGTAAAACTTAATAATATTGAATTATGTAAATATTATAAAATATCAAATAATAGTCCCAAGAGAAACATGATTCTCTTCCTATATCTTTATCATATTTAATTCTCAATTCTTATGTTCAATGTATAATTTAATTTGTGAAATTTAGAAACTTGTATATTTATAATTATTTTTTCTCTGGATTTAAGTGTGTGTGTGTGCGCGCATATATGGTACAAGATTATAGTTGTTTAAATTTTATATAATTAGTCATCCACACATTAATTAGCTATCATTCCATTACATTTAATAAGAATTATAACATAATTAGTTTTCACGTGGACTTAAGTATCAATTAATTTCGTAATTCTTTGTGTAAATAGCTATACCATAATTATATAAAAATTAATGAATTATAATTTCATAAATTTTTTGTAGTGTTAAATATGTTCATTGTATGTATTTTGGAGCTTTGGTCATTTATTAAAATTAAATGCACCTAAACCATCACAAAGTTCTACAATATACGAGAACTTATTTTCAAAATGAATCATTAGATACATGAAATTATTCTAGGTACTTATTAAAATACTTAAATATGTTGTGTGTGTATGTGTATGTGTGTATATATATATATATATATATATATATATATATATATATATATATATGTATATATATCAACTCTTAAAGTCTTCAATATATGAGGACTTAATTAAAAATAAATCTTAAATATATAAGAAATTACCCTAAGGAGTTACATAAAAAATAGTTAAGTACAAGACATACATAAATTCTCTATATATGTTAATATATTTTGAATTTTACACCAAATATATATAATTAACGTCCAAATATAAAATGTTGCAATAAAATAAAATATGAGTTTGATAAATAAAACGTAAATTGGTAAGTTTTGAGGCTACAAATAGGCATACAAATGATCTATTATTGAAGATTAACTTTTGCAATTTAGTTTGTTATTTTAAAGTTTATTAATACTTCAATTTATACATAATTACTATATTTTCAATTATTTTGAGAAAATCCAACTTCTATAGTTAAAATTGAATTTTCATTATTTGATAGTGTTTGAGCAACGCTTACCTTTGTCTCTGAAATAAAAATGTTCACCTATGAAATTTTGCACATATAACTTATTGTGGTTAAAATACTATTATTGCAGTGACAATCCTAACTATACGACCAAAGTTATAATTAACTGATAAGTTTATAATGTAGTTCAAATATTTAATGTGGCTAGATTTACCTTGTGGAAAAAAAACTAATGATGAGTTATAAAATTTTATCTTATTAATTTTGTGGTATCATTTTAGCGTGACAAATAATTGTAGCTACTAAGCCAACTACGGCCATGACTTTTTAGAACTTGAAACAAAATTATTTATTTAATAACATTTTGATTTAAAAAAATTATTGTGACTAAAAGGTTACTATTGCTATATGAAGTTTCAACTCGTGGCAAAAATTAATGATTAGCTACGAAATTCTATTAGAGCAAGAAATTTGTGGCTAATTTAACCTATACTGCCATAACTTTTTATAACTTGAAGCAGAAATATTCATTTAGCTATAATATTTTATTTCAAATATTTTATTGTGGCTAAAAAGTTATTATAGCTACAGTAAGTTTCAAGTCGTGGCAAAAAATTAATGATTAGCTACAGAATTCAGTTATAGCAATAAATTTGTGGCTATATCATTTAACTACTGCCACAACTTTTTAAAACTTGAAGCAAAAGTATTCATTTAGCTATAATATTTTGTTTCAAATAATTTATTGTAGCTAAAAGGTTACTTTTGCTACAATAACTATTGTCGTGTGGCAAAAACTTATGATTAGCTACAAAATTTAATTTGTAACAATAAATTTATAGCTATTTATGTAGCTATTGCCACGATTGTTAGCAAGTATAGCTAATACGAGGAATTAGCTTTACCAACTTAATTTTCGTGTCAAAGAAATTTTATAATTTCGTAAATAGCCACGGAATTCTAATTTGTGTGGCTATTATTAGGTATTAGCTATAATTATTAAATTTATAACAAAAATTTCGTAGCTATAGATGCATAATGTTGTAGTGAGTATTTTTTTTAGGTTAATTATAACCTCCTCCTGTCCTCCTATGCCAAATTTAAAAAATTGCCGATAAGGACTATGCATTGACGATTTCTCAAATACCTTGACGATTTCTGAAATACCAAACGACCCCTAAGTAATTATGAAACATAAAGAAGTGGAGTTCCACGTCAACTTTTTCTTTGTTCTTTTTTGGGCAAGGAGATAATACAAATTGTCATTATCATTTAATCACATTCTTGTTTTCTTCAGCAACATGTGTATTTATGTTTTTTGCTGCTAAACCCAAGAAAACTAAACTGATTGTAGTAGTCCTAGTATCTTTTTAAAGATACAATCGAAAAGCAAGTTGTGTAATTCTTGGGAAAATGGGAGAAGAAACTGAGGTGATCCATTCATGGTCTGCACCAAGGTCTCTAAGTACCAGCCTCATGTACTCTTTTGCCCAGGTGAGGAGTATCTTTTGGTTCTTAAATAAATGTCTGTTCTTGCAAATTTTGCAGTGGTTTAAATAGTGGGATTGTTCTATTTCTTCAATTGGTTGACTTTCTCTAACAGTATGATGATTCATATAAATGCTTTGTGTTAATCAGTCTTGCTATAGTGATCCTTCTCAATTCCCTTCAAAAGGAGGGTAATGGGGCTTGTAAAGTTTGTTTTATGGTGTGGCCTAGTGGTCAGGAACTGGGAACCTTGGGAAACTGGGTTCAATAATTGCAGCAGAGACCAAAAAAAAAAAAAGAAAAAAAAGAAAAAGAAATAGGTGATTTATTCCCATTTGTGTAAGCATTGGTGTATATAGTTATCTGGTACCTATATTGGTTGGAGGTAGCAGGTACCTGGTGAAAAAGTCAAGGTGCGCGCAAGGTGGCCTAAGACACCATCACTGTTATTTAAAACAGAAGTTTCTTTTGCCTGTCACATAACACTACTAAAGCAAAAGATTACTCTTTGGAATGCCTGATTTCTAATCCCAATTTTCCGTGAAGGTAAATGGTGCCTTTTTTCCAGCATAATAGTAGGAGTACATATTTCGTAAAATATAGAATGTCAAAGTAACTCAGCCTTCTATTTTCTTGAAATTGATGGTTAAGAATCCTAACGTTGTCTTGAAACTCGTATCTTTGCTTAATTAACTAGCATAGTTTTGATGGATTTGTTATCCATGATCCTTCTGATATAAGAGTGTTTTCTTGTGTTACAGAGAAATGACATCGAAGTTCTTGATGAACCACTGTATGCACATTTTCTGCGGGTCACTGGAGCGGATAGACCTTACAAGGAAGAACTTAGGTCCAAAATGGTATGTAAGATGATTACCACATTCATGATTTTTATCCTTTTCCAGTATTGTTATTATTCAGAGCTAAGTTGCAATTTATTATTCCATGTATAGCAATGTTGGTGTTTCTCAATATGGTTACATAATATATGGCAATAAGTTCTCTATATCTTGGCTTAGAGTAACTTTTATATGAAATAAGCAGGAAAACGATGGAAATAAAGTGGTGAAGGAGGTCATCTTTGGTGCCGGAACAAAAAAGTACCGCTATTGTAAGGTAATCTAGTAGCCCATAGCTGTATGTAAGAATAAAAAATTATGATTGCGCTAAAGTTATCATTTGTTCTTTATCTCTCCTTGTTAGATTCTATCATTTTTTTACCCTTTTGAGTTTCATTCGTATTCACATTCTTCTAATTCTATATCATAAGACAAGACACATCATGATGGATTTGATTTACTTGTAGGAAAACAGTGGATATGCGTAATTCAAACCTCTCATCTAAAGTTGATAAATCCAATTTCGGATCTGCTTGCTGCTAAACCCCAAATTACGTTTGTGACAACTTAGGCAACATATGATTTGTATGATTGAGACTCAGGACTGAGTGTTAAGCCGGAAGGGTATTCAAGCCAGCTTTGATATATGTATTCCCCTCTCAGTGCTGGTTCTTATTCTTCCAAAACTCCATCCTTTTGTGATTTCTCATCAAAGAGTGGTCGGAAGGGGCATGAAATAACACTGTTCTAAGTACCGATGCGATCCAATGCTAGGAAATTGTGGGCTTTGTGTAAGACTTGAGTTCTTTGCTTTGATAAGGTAAAAGCCATCCTTATGCCAGAAGTACTATACGGAGTAGTTAACAGTTATGTAGGGTCTTTTTCTATTACTTGACAAACTTGGTTCGAGCTTTCTGATGAATAAGATGTAGACCCAAGAAATTGTCTAGACAACTGAAGCCAAACATTTAATACTGTGGGTGAAACACTGAGTTTCAAGGCTTTGGCCTTTGATAAGTTTCGAACACTACATATTGCTGTAGACACCTTTTAAAGGTTAATGGTTTTGGTAGTGCCATAGACACCTCGTACAGGTTAATAGTTTAGTGTAGTCTTTCCCCATAATAGTCATTGGCTAGAAAGGGAAAGAAGTTTAATTTGCACATCTATCCTGTAAAAGGAGACACAGGATTTGGACAGCTTTATTATAACATTATAGAAGCAGAAAATCATACTCTTTCCCTTTCTTAACATTAGCAGACAGTTTTTGGCAATAGATATTTGTAGTTGGATTATTATTAAAATTCTCTCACTATTCCTTATTCCTTCTTGCAGCATATAGCCAAACAACGTGTGCCAGGTTTGACAAATGAACTGATGAAGAGAGGAAAGCACTTCATCCTGATAAGGAATCCCCTTGATATCTTGGTAATTTGAGTTCAAGTCTTGTTGCTTATGGTTGGTTATAAGTTCCTAAATTACTCAATGTCTGTTATTTTGTTTTATTCTTGCTGAACTAGAATAACCAAATTATTGCAAAACCCCAACATTGATGCATCACTACCAGAAAATTCTATTAACGTTGTGAACATTGCTCATCTTATATCTCTGTTTTCTTTCATTTTTATTATTTTTCTTTTTCTATGTCCTGTAAAAGTTTTATTTCTGCTTTGACTAATTTACCTTTCATATGCGATGCTGGCAGCCATCTTTTGATAAGGTTGTGCCTCCATCCTTTCTTGAGCTGGGGTTGGCAGAGCTGGTCTCCATATACAGTGAGCTATCTGAATTAGGAAAGCCCCCACCAGTTATTGATGCTGCAGATATTCAAGAAAATCCTGAGGTTTGTTGTCCCAGTAGCATTATTCAGTTTGAAGCATAATCTATTTTTCTTATTGGTTTATGAAAATATGGTTATCGATTCTTCTCATCCTAGTTGGGAATGTTGACAGTGTTAGATACTAGAAAAATATGGTCCGTTGGCCAGTGATACCCAAATTACTGAAAGTAAGAAGGTATTAATCACAGCTAAAGTGGTCTTGCTGTAACATGTAATTAACTGATTATTGCTTTGAACTGATTTACAAAATTGCCAGCTGGACATTTTCGTACATGGTTTGAGAAAGTTTATAGAGGGCTGCTCATTAGGGCTCTAGTCACAACTTCATTGTGGCTGCTCAGTCATTTTACCACTGTATTCCATGGTAGTCCCATCTCTTTGCAGATATATTGGTATTTTTGAACACGGAAGCTATTGGAGTAATGCAAAAACCTTAAATTGTGGAAAAAGAGGAAAGAAACTGTTGTGAATCTAAAATGTCAAGCTTATATGGTTAAACACAGCTTACAATGTGTTTTCATTATAGTAAGCTTAGGTCTAATTTACCTCTCTGCTCTCATTTGGTTTTGCTGTGTGAGCCTTTTGTATGAAACTCGATTCATGTGAACTAAAGTGTAGGGCCAGGATTAGCGTATCCTCCAATTATGACTAGTTGGTCAACTGCTATTGAAGCAATGTTAAGACCTCATTTAGAAAAGTTTGTACTGCAGAGTTTTAGTGCAGTTAGTGCAATGGTCAGTCTTCTTTATCTGGTCCAACTGTTTTCCGTCACTTCCCCTGGTTCATGCCTTTCACAAGATAAATCATTTGTGTTTTAAACGTGGTGGCCTGTTATGCCAACTGAAAGAGAATAGGAAATGAAAAGAGAGTAGAAGTACCTTCCGCAAGTTTTTACATGAGGAATGATCGCACAGCTGAGTGCCTTGATTACTTGTTTGGTTGCTTATAAAGTCACACAACTGAACAATTTTAAGAAGCTTTCTGCCAATTGTCTTTCTGCAGGCGGCCCTCCGTGGCCTTTGTGAAGACCTTGACATTCCATTTCAAGATTCAATGCTCAGGTAAGTAAAATTGCGCTAGAACTTTTAAAAAGTTGTTGATAATAATCTCTCTGGAGTTAGACTAGAAGATTATCTATACTTTGTAGGGCACCATAAATTTGTGTAGATTCTCTACTTTTTGGTATACATTTTGTAGGCGGAAAATTTTCAATTATTGAAATTATGTTACCTTATAAGAAAAAACTCACCTCTCTGGAGTTAAACAACATCAACTAGTTAGATAATCTTCTCTCTGGAGTTATTACCTTATTGACAAAAAAAAAGAAGATATTCATCTTGCTGGAGCTGTAGCAGGTTATTTTTCCACCACAATGGAAAGGCAGATTCATATAGCCAACAATCACTACTCATATTATCATGCTGTTTTCTTCCTGTGGGTCCCATTGATATTAGCATACCCCAATCTCATTCTTTGAAAAGCATTTGACCAATCCGTGCTGATAATGAGTTGAGGGTTCTTTGCATACATTTTCACCCACACACTCAGCCTTCTCCCAAAGAGCCAAGAGTAGGTTAAAAGGAGTTCAAGAGGCGGTTCTTGTGGTAATATGAACACTCGCAAATTATATGGAAAGGGAAGAATACATTTGCTGCTTGCTCTTGGTTTCTGCAGGCATCTTAGTTAGATAGAGATTGCAATATAGTGGAGAATGCGGGTGACAATCCTAGCCCGTCTTTTTCCTCCTGAAAATGATAGTATCCGGGTCAACTTGGGCGCACCTTGACTATTCAATCGGGTACCTGCTATCTCCCACTAGCAAAGGTACCGGGTAACTCTACCATCAAGGCTTAGGTAGATGGGAAAAATCACCTGATCTTTTCTGAGATTTGAACCCTACCCAGGCTTGTGTAGATGGAAGTGGAGATGTGCTGTGCAAGGGGTGGGGAATAAGTCTCCAGGGAGATGTGGGTGCAGGTAAGCTTCTCAAGGAGGCACGGTCTTTTTGGTCATGATGGTGTTACTTGTCATGAAAATAGTTTACATTATCCAATCATATTATACTTCTATATCATGGTTAGTTTTAATTGATTCTTGAATGCTGATCTTTTATGAACACTATGTGAAAAATAGACGCGCTAGTTTGTTGGGGCGAGATGTTAGAAGAAAGATGGAAGTTCCTTAAAAAGGTAAAAGAAAGAAAGAGAACATTAAGTCAGCAACAGATATGAAGAAATCATTTGGGTTGGGGGATGAAGAAGAAATGCAGGCCATGGCAAATGGGGGACCGGGAAGCCAAACCTTTCCTCATCCTGCCACATGTCCATGTTGGATTTTGCATCTGTTACTGCTACTGTTTTCTAGAATAATTAGTTGTTTAGTTTTAGGAGGAGTCTGCTAGAAGATTCAGAATTTTAATTATAGTAAGAGTTTAGTAATTTAGTTGTAGGAGGAGTCTACTACTTTATTTATTTGGCTATTTAAAGCCCTATGATTAATAAACTTTTAGAGACAGTTTTTCATCCTATTTTCAATCTTCTTGCTGCTTGCATATTTTTCTAAAATCCATAACAGTGGTATCAGAGCCTCCATTGATCTTGACGGATATCTGAATTCGCTGAAAAACAACCAATTTCAACCACTTTTAAACCATACTAATTTTTAACCAAATTTTTAACAATGGCAAGCAGCGGTCTCTCTTTGAATACCCCACAAACTTTCACTGGTGAAAACTATCAGATTTGGTCAGTGAAGATGAAATCTTATCTTGAAGCTTATGATCTATGGGAAGTTGTAATGGAAGACAGACTTATACAACCACTTCCTGCAAATCCTACCCTTGCCCAAATCAAAGCTCATTCAGATGAGAAAACTAAAAAATACAAAGCCAAAACTATAAATCAAAATTCAGTTGCAGATTCAATCTTCTCTAAAATCATTGCATGTGAGACAGCAAAAGAAGCTTGGAAAACACTTAAACAGGAGTATCAAGGAAGTGAACGAGGCAGACAAAATCAGATTTTAAATTTGAAAAGAGATTTTGAATCTCTTGGAATGCAAGATGATGAGACCTTCGCTAAGTATTCTGACCGAATTTCTTTAATTGTCAATAAAATCAGGTTGCTTGGCGAGGATTTCAAAGATGACAGGATAGTTGAAAAAATTCTTGTGACAATTCCCGAGAGATTTGAATCCAAAATTTCCTCTCTGGAAGAGTCTAAAGATCTCTCTACCATCTCTGTTGCAGAATTAATAAGTGTTCTTCAAGCACAAGAGCAAAGAAGGGCCTTTAGACAAGACAAAGTTACTGAGGGTATTTTTTATGCGAAACACCAAAAAGAAAAAGTCGATTATCCTTATTGCAAATATTGCAAAAAGAAAACACACTTAGAAAAATTTTGTTGGTGGAGACCTGATGCATTATGTGGAAATTGCAAACAAAAAGGTCATGTTACAAAAGTGTGCAAGTTCAAAGATGCTCATGCACAAGCACTAATAGCAGAAGAACGAATTGAGGATGACCTTCTTTAGACTGCAGCAACAGAACCAAGGAGGAGTGTTGGATTTTGCATCTGTTACTGCTACTGTTTTCTAGAATAATTAGTTGTTTAGTTTTAGGAGGAGTCTGCTAGAAGATTCAGAATTTTAATTATAGTAAGAGTTTAGTAATTTAGTTGTAGGAGGAGTCTACTACTTTATTTATTTGGCTATTTAAAGCCCTATGATTAATAAAATTTTAGAGACAGTTTTTCAATCCTATTTTCAATCTTCTTGCTGCTTGCATATTTTTCTAAAATCCATCACAGTCCATTCATGCGTCTGCGATTGGAGTTACATCTTTTATTTGGAAATGACATATCCCCTGGTAATTTTTGGTGGCTCTATTATGACGGTATTCGTGGAGGAACCTACAACATGGACAGACTTCCCTCCCCTCTGTCTCATGTGTTTCTTTAGAATGAAGATGGTAGTTTAAATTTTTGATAACTTTAAGTATATTTACACCCAGAAAAAAAGAAAAAAAAAAGAAGAGAAGCCAACTTGATTTTATGTTTTCAGGTGGGAAGCTGGGCCAAAATCATTTGATGGCATATGGGCACCATGGTGGTATAAAAGTGTGCATAAGTCAACAGGTTTTGCTCCTGCAAAGAAATACCCTACGGTATATGGTTCACAGATCTTTGATTGATTGCTATTACATGGTTATGCAAATTTTGTAATGATTGAACAGGGTATTATAGTGACATTTTGAAAATTATCTTTAGTCTGTTAGGTTACTATGTGAAGAAGAGGGGACACTTGCCTCTTTATTTCAGTTTGTATGACCAAGTATGATTGCCATATGATTTTTTGCTGGCATTACTATCCCTCAGCTCATATATTCTTTTGACTGCCAGATATCTATTAGCACTGAGTGAATTTGAAATGGGGTAAACTATTTAAACAAAGTCTCTTTCATGTCCCATGCCTGCCAATTATCTGCTGTTTTTGCATGTGCAGTGTGACATGATGCGTCTTTTTGCAAAATTAATCACATGAGAGTTGAACATGTTACTTATTCGTTTCGAATGTTGTTCACAGCTATCTTCTTCCCTACAACATTCTTAATAAATTATGAAGAATATCAAAATATTGGAGTATCCCATGAAAGACATTTGCTTATGTTTTTTTCCTTCTAAAACTTTTCAGCGATTTCCAACATCATTGTATGATTTGCTGGAGCAAAGCCTACCCTTTTACAACATGCTTAAGCGTCACGCAAGACGATCTTCTTATATCCTGAACTCAACTTCACCTCATCCCAGTCTTCCTGTTCCTGCTAATGAGAAGCTGCTTGCATGGGTTGGTGATGAGATTGTGCCCCGTGAGACTGCCAAGGTAAATTTGTCACGAAGTTCACCGAGAATGATATTTGAAAATTTTCTCTTTTTTCTGCTCTCCTTCTCAACTAGCTCTAAATTTCTGATCACTGCTTTACATTTTCTAGGTTTCAGTGTTTGATTCAGTTGTCCAAGGTGGTGATGCAGTATGGGAGGGGCTTCGAGTGTACAGTGGGAAGCTATTTAAGCTTGAGGAGCATTTAGATAGGTAAGTTACAACAACTAGTGTTAAATTACATCCCAATTAGTTAGATATAGGATGTGGATTTATCTCATATATATTAAATAGGTGTAACCATTATCATTAAGTTATCTATTTATTCTCTTTTTCCTTTTATTATTTTCCTGATATATCTCATAGCCTCTACAATGTGGTTGACTTAAGTAGTTTTCGCCTATTGGCAGGTGGTGACACGACCAAAGTTTTCTTCTTTTTCATAGTCTAACTATTGTAGCGACCATTCCACTGGCTCAGCTCTTAAGTTGGTGTCGATGTAAAATATAGAGCTAAAATCTAAGGCTTGGATGGTTTTACATGGACATTATAATGGGGGGTAGGATTGAAGATAATAGCATCAAATGTGTAAAAGAAGATGAATCATGGACGAGCTCTCTGTGAATGAGTAGCTCCAAAGATAATGCAGTACCTTGAGAATCAGATTTGTCAAAGCACGCCTTAATGTGTAAAGCAAATACACCAGATAGGGAAAATTAGGAAAATGAGATAACAAGTCATAAGGGTAAGATTTGTCAATGTAGTTACCTATTCTGCCACCAGCTCAATGTAGTGACCTATTCTGCCACCAGCATATGGGATGAAATATGCTTAATCAATGAAGATGTAGTAAAAAGAACATCAGTTTGCTTTTTCATCCAAATCAGAAAAATGAGCCTTGCCTATGAAACACTTTGTCTTGCTCTTCGTAAATCCAGTTTGCTGTGGAATATGTGTGATGGATAACAGCTTCGGCAGTATTTAGCACCCCCTCCCTCGGTCCCAAAATAAATGAATAAGAAAAAGAAAAACTTTTCACCTTCATTAGGCTATGCATGAATATTTGGCAGCTCCAAGCTCCATCCTTCCCTGAACTTTACATTTTAGTATTCTTTTCTCAGGTTGTTCGACTCGGCAAAAGCACTAGCGTTCAGCAATGTACCAACTCGTGAGGAGGTAAAAATGCTGTGGCAATTTTCTGTTTGGCTCTGGGTCTAGGTCCTCTGAGCTTTTGATTTCTACTTTACGAAATCTAGTTTTGGTACAACTTGTGACTTCATGCAAGAATATGCAGGTCAAAGAAGCTATTTTCAAGACTCTTTTAACAAATGGAATGTATGATAATGCACATATCCGACTAACTTTGACACGTGGTAAAAAGGTAATCTTAAGAATTGCTATTAATCTATCTATTCTTGTACTCAGCAGTAATTTTTGAAATCTGATTAAATCCATCACTGGACTTCTAATCAAATGGAATGTACGATAATGCACATATCCGGCTAACTTTGACACGTGGTAAAAAGGTAATCTTAAGAATTGCTATTAATCTATCTATTCTTGTACTCAGCAGTAATTTTGAAATCTGATTAAATCCATGACTGGACTTCTAATCATATTATGTTTTTATCTAGTTCTCTTTTCACTCTCACCTTATATTTTTTCAATGTTCTTATCATTAGGTAACCTCAGGAATGAGCCCTGCATTCAATCGATATGGATGTACTTTAATTGGTAAGATGCCTTTTATTTATATTTTTATAGCTTGAATGCCTGCTTTTAAACTCTCTCGTTGTTCCTCTGCATGAACAATGTCATGGTTCAGCCTATACCGTCATCTTGTAAGAATGAAAATCGTTTTATTATATGCTATACTTGTTTAAGATTTCTTGTATCTAAGTTATAGTTGCCTGCACTTGTCAAATATCATGGCAAACTCATTTTAAGGCAGACTGAAAAACTGTGTTCTTTTTGTGAATATATTTTCTGTGTATCTTGTTCATTACAGAGTCATAATGTTGTCCTGTCGTGTGCCAAGCACCTTTATCTTCCAATTGATGATATGCATTTACCTTCATGTATTTTGTAGCTAAAGTACTTTTTTTAAGTATGGAAATGTCTAGAACTTGGAATAATTTCTCCTCCAAACCCGAGTACATTTGCCTCCTTGAATTTTCCTTTCTTATCAATAAAAAGTAAAAGAAGAAGATCAAAGTACTAAATGTGTGCTTTCTGTATTTTACTGGTGTAGCTAAACTCTAATTTATACATCCTTCTTTCTCATATTTTTATTAAACCGCTTTTGAAGTTCTTGCTGAATGGAAACCTCCAGTCTATGACAATGAAAAGGGCATAATGTTAGTGACGGCAACGACTCGTCGTAATTCACCAAATGTAAGATATTGCTTCCAGTTGAGCATAGTATTTTCATGAGATTGTTATGTTATTTCCGTGCATCCTCTTTTCTTATTTATAAATATTCATTTGCTTTATACCCATATTGCTAAAATCAATTTCCATTTATCTAAAGACTTTTATACAATTGACCAGAGCATCTTTTGAGGCAAGTTGTGGTTTTGTTGATAAATCAGCATTCCCACAATCCTTTGTTTCCTTCTTTTCTGAATTTAAGGAAACAGAAAAGAAGGGTAGAAAATCTGACATTGTGTTATGCTCTGTTTTTATTTATCTAAACTTCACCACCATCTTGTGGGTACCCATTCGTCCAAGACCTGATCCCAATTATAAAAATCATCTTCTATTAGCTTTATCAATACCATGTTTTATAGTACCTTCAGAACAAACTTGATATTGAGTCCAAGTAAGGATGACGATGTGTTACTGCAAAAAGATGCCCAGATTCAATGTGCTTCCTTCCCAATCATGTCCAGAACCTCAAAAGATGATGTTGGCCAAGGATTGTAATTTCAGCCTATATTGCTCGGACTCTTCAAAAATGCCGCCGGGTGAGTGTCGAATCCTCAAAAATTAGCACATTTTTGGTGGATCCAACTTGGGTGTGGCAGCATTTTGGAGAGCCCAAGCAACATAGGTTTCAGCTCATGATTCATATATCCTTGGTTAAGGTATCTAAGTGATCTATGCTTCCTACCTAATGACGTGGAATAACTTTTTATGCTATTGCTACTATCTTATAGGCTATAGCCAAAGATTGAGGAAGGTGACATATAATTCCTTGAGTCATTCTTTTAAGGCAAAAAACAATAAAGTTATGTTGCTGCGAGCCTTTACCATAGCTAATAAATCTATATTTGGGGTACCTTTTGTTTTAAATCAATGACTTGTTTTGCACTCTGCAGAATTTGGATTCAAAGATTCACCATAACAACCTTCTCAACAACATTCTCGCAAAGGTATCTTTTTCTCTTCTGAGTTTGAGCTATGCAAATCAATACTTTGAGTATTCACATAATCTTTTTTTTTCTATTGTTTCTGAGCAAGTCGTAATTGTGATCATGAATTTCATATTGACAGTGCTTCATCTTATATATGCTTGCAGATTCGTCTGCAATTCATATACTTCATATTAAGAAATTATAGCTTGCGATATGGAGAAGCACCTTAGAGAGTAAGGGTTTTAGGATAAGTAGAAGTAAGACAGAGTACATGCACTGCAAGTTTAGTCAACATGAGAAGAGCGAAATTGAGGTGAGATTAGATAGGATTGTGGATATCTAGGCTCGTTGTTTCAAGAGAATGGAATGATTGATGAAGATGTTACTCATAGGATTAAAACCGGATAGTTGAAATGGAGAAGTTCTACGGAGTGTTATGTGATAAAAGGATGCCTACCAAAGTGAAAGGTAAGTTCTAAAGAACAACTATAGACCGACTATGTTATATAGTAGTAAATGTTGGGCCGCTAAAGTCCAACATATCCACAAGATGAGTGTTGCTGAGATGCCGATGCTAAGATGGATGTGCGGTCACACAAAGATTAGATAAGATTAAAAATGACGACATTGGTCGCTTGAGGATAAAAGGAGAGAAGGCCGCTTGAGATGGTTTGGTTATGTCCTGCGTAGACCTACAGAAGACCTAAAAATTCTTTAGAATCAATGCAGATTTAGCAAAAAATAGGACACAGTGGAAGAGAAAGATCCATGTAGGTGATACCTACTAATTGAGAATAGGTTTTTGGACTTGGTAGGAAGCTCTAATATTATTATTGTCACTTTAACTGGGACGGTGGAAGAATTGTTTTATGGTTTGGTAGCTGGACATACTTCTTGAGAATTTAACATTGTGATCACTGTATACTATGTGAAATTGCTAATGCAACTCCTTTTTGGAGGAGGCCGGAGGGGGGGGGGGGTAGGGGGAGGGGAGGGGAGGGAGGAGCACACTACTAAGTAATGCTAGTGTC